AACCCACCCAGAACAAGGTGTCAATCATTGTCTGACCGAATCAAAACAATAATCCTGTCAATTGCACCTGCAAAAGAGCACAGTGATGGTCGAAAAGTCGTACAATAAAAAGAAATCTGAACATGCATGTGGTTTTGACGGCCATACAATGATGGAGTCCTATGAGCATGAAATCCATAAGATACATGTCAGGCAATACAACACCCAGAACTGTTGTCGCAACATACCGGTTGACTGTATGACATCTTCGATTACTAACGCTGCAACTGAATGAAAACCATAAGACAAATTTCGGGTGTTACATTAGACTATTCAAGTACAAGCCCCACATTAAAAGAAAAATCGCACAAGCATACGCAGTATTTATTTATATACTGAAAAACACCTTACATACAGGATGTTCGTTTGAAAACTTCCCACCACGGACTTATCGAAAACCAATAATTAAAAGAAAAAACGCCAAGACACGTCAAAGGATTTGTCAACGGGGCAAACTTTTTAACCAAAAACCACTTCACCCCCTTTCACTGTCAGGGTCAAAAATGAGAGATAAGAAAAAAGTCCCTGGTTGGCGAAGCATATTACAACCTACAGGTGAGAAAATATGCCACAGACAGGTATAGTACATTATTTTTTATTACCAGTCATTTAAATTTTATAGAAATTTATGTTGCGATGTCAAGTTGAAAATACAAATCAGGGCCTGGATGTGAGGCACTGCGAAAATGTTTTGTGAGTGATGCATCATTTCTAATTTTTCTGTAATGTAACTTAATTATACAAAACGCGGGCGCGGTGGTGAGTTCCCGTAATGCTTCTGAAAGTTTTTGAAAACGTAAAAATGCCGGGGAAAATCGTAATTTATAACTTTGAACATAACCTCTCTTCTGAAAGGACAACACAAATAACCTGTCTGGTACAGCTAATAGATACATAGTTCATGTGCAGCATATTCAGTAATAATTTTCTCACGCAGCAGATGATGCGATCTTGCTACTCTGCTACTCAACCAATTTTTCTTGTCACATTTTCTTAGAGATATATTCTACAGAATCGGCATTCTGCAACCAACAAAGCATGCTGGGGAACTGATTTGAAGGTGGTCATTGGGCATGTCGTTGACTCATTCTCATGCTCAAAGCGCTCACAGCGAGCAACATTGGAATGAACTAAATAGTCAACAAGTTGACATTTTGTCGTTTTTTGATATTTTTTAGGGTTTTTACGTAATAGACCGACGGTAGTGCCGCGGTAACACCAGGTTAGTCATGAACGCCCGTCAGCAAACCGACAGAGCCGAAGCAGGGACGCTTTAGAAAATATTTCTTCTATCATTCTAAATGAGAGCAAAGGTACAGGGAAGCATGAGATGTGCTGTGAAACATGTTTAATAGGTGCATAGTATTCCCAAGGTTGGGATCGTATAAATATTACATCAACAATTTTTAACCCCCCAATTTTTCCCAAAAATGATGAGGATCTTGTGGAGCATTAAAAAATGGCTTCGGGTTTTTCTCCGCCACCACTGGCCCGATTTTCAAAAACTACAAAACTTTTTTGCCTTTGCATTGGAGTAACCTTGTATGAAAAATGACCTCCAAAACCGATTAGTTCTTTCCAAGTTATGGATAAGCGGACAGACAGACAGACCGACAGACAGACTGACAGACACACAGACCGATAGACACGCAGACCGACAGACACACAGACACACAAGCCGATAGACCGACGGAAATAAGTAACGTGGCTCTTCGTTATGAATTTGTCTTAGTAAACATAATATTTATTTTTTCGCGATGAAGATATTTCGCCGCCAGTAGGCGTAGGGAGTAAAAAAAAATGGAGTCATCAATTCGTAATGAATTATGTTCGGCACAAGTTAGTCCTTCTGAGAAAAAAGTTAGCCAGGAACATGTATAACAAAGAAATAAATGACCTTCCTCCTCTCCCTGAGAGGAATTGCTGCGGGTGTACATTATCGTTGCGATGACCGATCCCGCGTGAATGTTTGATATTGGTCTTCACCATGGACAGTTCACGCAGCTCACAGTAGTGTGGAAGCGATTGCCGACTGTATTGTACGACCACCGATGGCGGCGCTTGTCCTCCCCAACCCATAACGACCTAATATTCAGTCTCTACAAAAACTTTTCCCAAAATGATCAAGATCATGTAAAACATCAAAAAACGAAGTTTGTGCGTTTTTTGTTTTTGGTCTTTTTCTCCGCCGCTGCTGGACCGATTTTTAAAAACTACAAAGCGTTTGCGTCCTTGACATAGTAGCAACATTGTGTCAGAATTTCATCGAAATCTGGCAGACCGACAGACAGACAGACAGACCGACCAACGGAAATGAGTGACACGGCTATTTGTGATGAACATGTCATATAACTTTCAAAAAACATAATATCTCATTTTAGACGTTTTTGCCATTGCAATAGTTCCTCGCCAATAGGCGTGGGAAGTAGAAAGCGAAATTGGTCGTGAGCAACGGCGTCGCAGACGTCACGTATACGCTTAATCTCCGCACACACACATACTTGTTCGGCTGGGACACGCCTCAGCCAGCGTCGCATCCTGTTTTTGTATCCATCACTACTTTTGAAAATCAATATCAAACCGTCCGAATCCGTTGGCGGGCGGGCGTCGCTTCTCCGCCACCGCTCTTCACGTTTATTCGATTTAGGTCAATCGGACGACTCACAAGATCCAATCAACTTTCAAAAGCACCGGTGCATCCGAGCAACAGAAAATAATGAGTTCCAGTAAGCTGAGTTTGTTCCTAGAAACATACAAAAGAGCGGCTAGTCATATGTGCCATACGACCATAAACAGGTGCACGCTCATTGAGAGGAAGTGAGGAGAAAAGGATGGTAACTCTTCGAAGGTTCCCTTACACATGATCAAATGACAGCCCTTACACAGGAGCAATGCAAAGAATAGTGACGTAAGCTAGTAATATTGCTTCCTTTCCGATCACAGACTGGCCAACCATGGACAGCTGTTTAGAGCATAATGTCTATCTAAGATCTGTTACCAGAATCGACCATTGCGATAGTGGAAGCAGCACGCTGTTGCAGTTTGCACTGTCAGCAAGGTAGGGTCCTTGTGGCAGCTAGATGCCGCCGATTCTGGTACTATAGCAGATATGATCTACTCTCCATTGAACAAACCAGTAATATACAGGGTGTTTCACAACTTATCTGACAAATTTTAACCACATATGCACTGTTACGAAAGAGGTTGATTTCTCAAAAAAATGCAAATGCAAGTCCTTCAGAACTCGAGATAACAAAAGAATACAGTAACAGTTCAATTACTCATTAAAGCTGTTCAAAATTGTTCCCATTGACTGCAGTGCAAACTTGGGCATGTCTAATTCAATTTCGGCGCACTAATTCAAATACACCTCCTTCCTGCTGTGCCTGAAGGCTCAAGTTATCGGCAGCCGTTGTGATTAGGACACGCAATTCGTCAATATTCTGAACTAGAGTAGGGTATATATACCTCGTTTTTCAAGTATTCCCATAAAAAGAAGTGCAGAGGACTTAGATCGGAAGACCGTGGAGGCCATGGTCCACCCCTTCCGATCCAGCGTATCTGGTATACCTGATTCAAAAAATCAGGAACTTCTATACGAAAATGCGGAGGTGCCTCACCGTGCAGAAACCACATCCATGCTCGGACCGCCAATGGCACATCTTCAAGAAGGACCGGCAAATCATTCCGAAGAGATTCCAGATACTGGTAACCATTCATCCGATCTGGCAATGTGAACGGTCCAATTAGACGTTCATCGACAATACCTGCCTACACGTTTAAAGAAAAACGATGTCGGAAGTGTGTCTGGACCACTGCGTGAGGCATCTCAAAGGACCAAACGTATGTATTATGAAGATTGGTTATCCCATTACGAGTAAAAATAGCTTCATCGGTGGCCAAAATGTCAGCTGTAAAACGGGCATTTTGAGCATTTTCTTGCAACAACCACTCACAAAGTCTTACTGTAGGGGTAGTCTGTAGGTAGCAACGCCTCGTCTCTCTGGACGTGATACGGGTGCAGTTGGGCCTCATGTGCTCATTCCCCTAGTTTCTTCCACAATATCAAACATTTCGTCTTCGGCATTTAAAACGCGTTGTGGGCGAACCCTACCCCCATCCACTTCACGTCTGGGGCGCAAATCTGCACTAGCACGTGCACTTAAAACAATTGAACTAGATGCTTTGTGATGTGGTATGTGCCTACTCGGAAATCGGTGTGAATACAAACGAGAAGCCGCTCGCGAATTTTGCCCTGCTTCTCGGTATGCTAAAACAATGTCCACGTACTCCTCATTAGTGTATGCATGTGCCATTTTTATTAATAAATATCTAAAAACATAAAGTCACAAAATACTTTCTTGTTTAACTTCACAAAAATCGACCGTTATTCATTCAGATCACCCACGATACAGATTAAACCTTATTTACCCGTTCTTATCAGTATGAAAAGACAAAAAAATGCTGGTATTTTGCTTTCGTCAGTTGTTTGGTACATTTGCTACAATAAGTTATTAATCCGTGTTCTATCACTACAATGAACGCAAAATACAGATATTTATTTTTCAATTTATCATTGTAACTCAGGCTTATAACTTAATTTCAGTAAGAATCTTATTACATATTTGTTTTGAGAAATCTTCTTTCGTAACAGTACATATGTGGTTAAAATTTGTCGCGTAAGTTATGAAACATCCTGTATATTATACCTATTTCGATGGATCTTAGACTTAGGATAGAGGATGGTTTCTCAGCTTGCGTTCATTGTGCTACCTGCGACCAAGCCTAGATCATGCTGAAAAGTTGCCAGTTAGCACGAAACATATGTCTATGGTTGGCCATCTGTGGTCGTACGTAAGCTATATTACTCGTTTGTACAACGGCGAGAGGACAGTATCTACTTACCACATACGAGGGATGTCTTTTAAGTTTTGCATATGGAAATAAAACAACACGGTAGGTAGTTTCAAATGACTTTATTGTTTTTCGAAGTATTCTCCACGAAGATTAATGCACATCTGCATGGGCCCGAACCAATTTTCGAAGCACTTATTCCACTCGTTTGCTGGCAGATCGAAAACGGCATTTTTGAATGCGTCAACTGCTTCTTCTGGTGACTGGAACCTTTGACCACGCAGTCTGTTTTTAATTTTTGGGAAAGTAAAGAAATCGTTAGGACTTAGATCGGGACTATATGGAGGTTGGTCCAATATTTCCACGTTTTCTTCCGTTAAATACTGCCTTGTTTTTTGGGCTGTGTGCGAGCTTGCATTCTCTTGGTGGAGGATGATTCTTCCTTCGGGGTTGACTTTTCGAAGCTCGGTGATGACTTTTGGCAAACAAATGGTGGTATACCAATCCACAGTAACAGTGCTTTGCTCATTAAGAGAAATTGTTGCAATATGACCTTTTTACACAAATGTCGCGACCACCTTTTTCGAAACATTTCGAGAACGGATGACTTTTGTTGGATTTTCTTCACCTTGGAACACCCAAACAGCCGACTGTCGTTTTTTTTGGTTGATAACAGTAAATCCACGATTCATCAGCACTAACAATGCTGTACACATTTTTTGAGTGTCCGGAATTGAAAAGGTCAAGCGTTTTTTGACACCAATTAACCCTGGCTGCTTTCTGCTCTTCAGTCAACAGGTGGGGTATCCAACGAGAAACTAACTTTCTGACTCCTAATTCTTAATGTAAAATTTTTTGAATTGAGGTCTTCGACATCTTCAAGGACGCCTCAATCTCGCGATATGTCACATGTCTATCTTCAATGATGAGTTTGTGCACAGCATCGACGTTTTCCTGGGTGACTGCCGTTTTTGGTGCACCCACCCTGGGATCGTCGCTAAGATTCACCCGTCCACGTTTGAATTCTGCATACCAACGGGAAATTGTCGACAGTAACTCAGCAGGCATTCTTGTTGCGATAATTGTCTCTGAAAGTTGTAATAAATTATGGCGCGAAAATGTTCTCGGTTGAGTTAAATCTTTCTAATGACTTGGTGACACTTAAATATTTACTGTAGTGAGAACACTGCACGTATTATTGTGAATCTTTGAATTCAGGTTTACTAAAGAGTGAGGTTAAAATTCAGTACTGACGTTCGATCCGCGCGGCCTACTATGTTTCTATATGCAAAACTTAAAAGACATCCCTCGTACACAACCATTTAGAAACAAATCGTGAAATGATGTTTTTTCTTGAAAAAGTCGCGACAGTAGTTCGTTTGTGCTGTTTTTTGCTGTGAAGTCACGGAAAAATCGATACATTCGGACAAGCTGAAGCTGAACGGTTCTCCAGCCGAGCGAGCTGCGGTGCACCCAATGTCTGTCTGTTACACAGAGGTATTGAGTATTACTGTGCATTTACTCTAATCACTCTAATCATATTAGATGAACATACCCCTGGTTTACGAAATAAATGTATAATGTATTATTGCTGCAAGTTGTTCAAGTTGGTATTTAAAACATGGACGCATAAAATGAACACATCAATTTTTGTGGGAAAACCTTTTATTCGACAAAACAAAGAATGAGAAAACGCGTTTTTTGTGATTCAATAAAAAGTGTTGGCAGGAACAAAAAAACTCTTTCTATAAGATTAGGTATTTATTAGACCTACAAAATGAAACCACACATTAAAAGATCATCCGATCAATAACACTTGTTGACGATGGTTTCTCGCAGATGTTTGAAATTCTTCGAGTTCGTAGGATTCGTACTTCTAAATAACTACAACAGACCTTGAGTAGTTTGGTCAAGCAATTTTTGAGAATTTCTAATTGTTTATCCCAAAACACCTATTTTCCTGCCATCACAACTAGTTTATTGAGCAATATTCAGGGTTAGCTCAAATGGCATTTTATAGCAAAATACACTAGTTTACATTGCCGATATGAATGTTTGAATTTGTTTAGAAGAAAAAAGATAACCTTTGTTTTACCCATGAAAATAACATTTATCTTTCGGAATGGTTTGTGTCCTTTCGGCAAGGTAAACACGTGTGATTTGCTATAAAGTGCCCTTTGAACGAACCCTGTATATTGCTCAATAAACTAGTAGTGATGGCCGGAAAATAGGTGTTTTATATATATATATATATATATATATATATATATTATATAAATATATGTACTACTCAGCTCTCAGAAGTTGCTTTCTTCACAAAAACTAAGAGATACAGTTTTAACAAAGGTAAACAAAAACAAAGATGAAACTTTGACATTGTTGCCACAGCATGCTTTCAATATAGTTATGTTGCCGAAAAATTTGAAAACAAATTTTCTGGGTGTAACACTTACAATGACACTGAGTGTATTTAAAATTCTTCTTTAATTTATACGTTTTGGTCACAACGGCGACTTTCTTCACTACATGATAATATTGGACAATATTTTATTTATATGTCTTCCAGGTGAAACTTCGTTAGTTTTTGCTTTTTATCTTCAGATCGCTATACAGTGTATATAAGTTTTGCATATAGAAACATAGTAGGCCGCGCGGATCGAACGTCAGTACTGATTCTTAACCTCACTCTTTAGTAAACTTACATTCAAAGTTTCACAACAATACGTGCAGTTTTCTCACTACAGTGAATTTTTAAGTGTCACCAAGTCATTAGAAAAATGGAACTCAACCGAGAACATTTTCGCACCACAATTCATTACAACTTTCAGAGACAATTATCGCAACAAGAATGCCTTGCTGAGTTACTGTCTGTTTCCGGCAAGGAAGCGCCACATCAGTCGACAATTTCCCGTTGGTATGGAGAATTCAAACGTGGACGGGTGAGTCTTAGCGACGATCCCAGGATGGGTACACTAAAAACGGCTGTCACGCAGGAAAACGTAGATGCTGTGCGCAAACTCATCATTGAAGATAGACATGTGACATATCGCGAGATTGACGCGTCCTTGAAGATCTCAAAGACCTCAATTCAAAAAAATTTACATGAAGAGTTAGGAGTAAGAAAATTAGTTTCTCGTTGTATACCCCACCTGTTGAGTGAAGAGCAAAAAGCAGCCAGGGTTGATTGGTGTCAAAAAACGCTTGACCGTTTCAATTCGGGAAACTCAAAAAATGTGTACAGCATTTTTAGTGGTGATGAATCGTGGATTTACTGTTATGAACCAGAAAATAAACGGCAGTCGTCTGTTTGGGTGTTCCAAGGTGAAGAAAAGCCAACAAAAGTCATCCGATCTCGAAATGTTTCGAAAAAGATGGTCGCGACATTTGTGTCAAAAGGTCATATTGCTACAATTCCTCTTAATGAGCAAAGAACTGTTACTGCGGATTGGTATACCACCACTTGTTTGCCAAAAGTCATCACCGAGCTTCGAAAAATCAACCCCGAAAGAAGAATCATCCTTCACCAAGACAATGCAAGCTCGCACACAGCCCAAAAAACAAGGCAGTATTTAACGGAAGAAAACGTGGAATTACTGGACCATCCTCCATATAGTTCCGATCTAAGTTCTAACGATTTCTTTGCTTTCCCGAAAACTAAAAGCAGACTGCGTGGTCAAAGGTTCCAGTCACCAGAAGAAGTAGTTGACGCATTCAAAAATGCCGTTTTAGATCTGCCAGCAAACGGGTGGAATAAGTGCTTCGAAAATTGGTTCGAGCGCATGCAGATGTGTATTAATCTTCGAGGAGATTGCTTCGAAAAACAATAAGGTCATTTAAAACTACCTACCCAGTTGTTTTATTTCCGTATGCAAAACTTAAAAGAATATTCGGAAAGGTCGGTAACATGCCGAGATTGCGTGAAGCCATCATTCCAAACTGTACCCAGTACAGCCTAGTATCGCAAGTGATAAACATTCCCGCTCCCAAATGGACGTCTAGACATCCCTCTACAAAAAATAACAAACGACACATGAGTATGAGGTTACCTGTCGATTTTTTATATACCAACCTTAGTTGAAGTTTGAATAACAGTAAACCAATGTGTTACGACAACAGTTTCTGGGAGGGATTTTCGCATTTTTTTAGAGGGCTTTTGGCGTTTCAGGAACGATGGACGAGAGTGACGTATCTGATGCATTTCTTATCTTTTTCCGGCAAAATTACCTGTTACATGAGATTGGATAATACGATACACATCTTTCACTACACGCATCTGGGCCCCTGTAGTTGATACGGGGTTGCTACGCCCCGGAGTATTATTACTGGAAAAAGCAGTGGATAAGAAATAGAGCAAGAGCTTTTGCTTTAAGCAATTGCTATTAGAACCTGCAATATTACAAGCCAAGTGTCTTCTTTATGCTCTGCATTGGCTACATTGAAGTTCCGGAGAATAAATGAATTACTTGTTTCCCAATGATGACCATATTGAGCAAGCAGAGCGCGCTATTGAATATTGGCTTCAAAGTTCCATTCATTTTATGACTAAAAAGCAAGTATCTTACACAATTGCTGATTTTTATTATACAAATTGGCGTATCATACCTTTGGGTAAAAAATATATGTTCTCTGTGATATCCCCTGCAGCTTACTTGACTAAATAAAAAGGGTTAATATCCAATGTTCAAGCGCATCTCTCTCTTTAATGCTAGCCTTGCATGTGAGTACTATAAGCTTTTTGACACCGGTGAATTATTTTTCCATTACAGTTGAAGTAGCGGTGCAACAAAAATATTCACAGATTTTCGCCCACCTCGATAGCCTTTTCCAACATTCAAAATGCCAATGGCAAAACACAACACTGTCATTACTATTATGAACTTTATGCTTCCAAAAAACCTTAACACATTCTCAGCAGGCGCGTTACACTAGCTTTAAAGTTTAAGAGAACTACAGAGAACTTTAGTTCCCTTTACTGAAAAGCAAATCAAGTAAATAAATCCTTTAAAGTGATTCGAGCTAGCACGCTTCCGACTAAAGTGAAATTATCGCGGCGTATGCACTCATCCAGAATGATAAGATTCCTTCTACACATTTACTACGTTATATCGGGAAATAGAGTTTGCCGCAGGAGACAGTCTAAGCTCGTTTAGATGTTGCCAGATGTACCACTACTGCACTAGCCCTATGAGCTTCAAAAAATATGTGAAGCATTGGCAGTGTTTAGATTTTCCTAGAAAAAAACGATAAGCCCAGTTAGTTGTAAACGGTTATTATGTACCCCGTGTGTTTTTATGCTAATTTGACCCAGTGGCATTTTTCAAGTAAAAATGACTGAGCTGTTTCTGAATGTCTCAATACATCAGTTACAATAAAAATATGATAGGATCCACACGACGCCACCTCGCCATACACTTTACAAAAGTGTGACCTCACTACCCCGATAGCACGAAATATTCATTGAATATCTATTCAATATTAAATAATATTTTTATCTTACTTAAATATTTATTTTCTTGAACAAATATTTAATAAGGTTTTTTGAATCTAATATCTTTATTAAATGTTTATTCAATATCGTTTAATTATTTTATATAAAATATTTCTTTTATAATATTCATCAAATATTTACTTCTCAATTAATGGAAAATATTAAAACTCCACTATTTAGAAATATTCATTAAATATCTTCGGCTACGGCGCATGCGCGTGTCACCACGAGCGACCAATGGCATAATGGCAATCCGACCTGAGCCGACCCGCTTACCAGCATCCATTTTGCATGTGAGTTTCACTATGAGAACATGCTTCCTGTGCGCCTCAATTATTTGAGCGTTTTTTGTGGAAAAGGGCAAGTTTTGCGATAATTACATAGCTTAATTTATCTAAATAGTGAACATCATTGTGCCAGTTGAGTATAAGGTCTTTACAAGACCCTAAATAACTAGCCTTAAAGTGTAACATTTATTTGCGATTTGGGATTGGTGGATTTATCACAAAATGGATACGAAAATTATATTCATAACATCCTAATGAAAAGTCATATAATCACAACTTGATCGAGATACATG